ACAGGCATGCTTGACAGGACTCTAGCTGCCGACAGCAAGGTGGTGGATTCAGGGTGTTTCCAGTTTAGTAGATCAGTGGTTGAAAAGGGCTGATAGATGAAAGTCTGTTGCCCCCACCCAGATGTGGGCCTGGTCATTGTAATAGACAGGTCCTCATCTCCCTGAGAGGCATTTGCATAGCTCAAGCAAGACCAGATCTGAGAAGGCCCACTTGACTATCTTGACTTCCTTCTTTGGCCTCTCCAGGTTCCGATTCTCCCCTTCGAGGTGAGACCTGGGGTGTGTTAGCTCCTGAATCTCGTTTCTGAGGGGGCTGTTGGCCTCGGTAAAGCGGAGTAGGCTGGAACATATGGAGAAAGAATTTCTATGATCTCTGGCGGCTCCTGCAAAACTGGTTTCTCTTGCTGTTTCTGGGACTCCTTTTTAACTCTGTGTCTGCTGGCGAAGCTGCTCTTACTTTTACTTTTGGTTTTTTTGCAATAAGCTGTTAAATAGGGCTAAATTTTTGCTGGTTTTGTCTATATTATATTTAACCATGAATCAATATAAAGGAATTTGTTCTAGGTACACTGGCTGTCCTCCGAGCCCTGTCACCACCTTAAATACATGGCCAGTTGTTCCTTGTCTATAGTTCCTTCAACGGACCATCCAATACCAAAAGAGGGCAGTTCTAATTCACACAGAGATCTTAACCTCTAAGGGGTTAACTTAACTCCATAATCTCCTGCAAAACCTTTCTTAAGGTTCTGTAACATGCATTTTAATAGAGTAAGTTTTGATGATTGGATGACTTTCCTTTTATTTTTTTGAAATTTTTCTTTTTGAAATGTTTTAACACAGTTCCTAGCGGAGTGGGCTTACTTTGTGTCTGACCTATTTTTCTCTCGACACAAAACACATTCACAATACAGGAAGGAAAGGTTAAAAGGTCACTCACTCGTCTAATTTACACTAAATCAAAATCAAAACTAAAACCAGTGTTGTTAAAGGCACACCTGTTCGTCAAGCAATTTAAGCCAAGTCAAAATCAGAACCAAAACCGAAGTGCCAATAAACGCACGCCTGTTTATCAAGCAATTCAAGTCAAGTCAAAATCAAAACAAAAACCAAAGTATCAAGCAATTAATTCAAGTCAAGTCAAAAACAAAAAACAAAGCACCAGTACAGGCATGCCGTGGGTGATCAGGCCACGTTCCACTCAAATGGAGTGGGCAAGTTCCAAAGACCAGTCTTACCAAGTTTCAGCTGTCCGGACTTAAAGTGCCAGTTCCTTCCCGGTGTTCAGCCACTGTGTTGATCCTCCACGGGGTCCTGCTGTGCACTGCTCTGACGAGGCGTTCCACCAGGGCAAATGCCTACCCGGGAGCGCTCTCAGGATCCGCCTCGCTCAATCCAGCCAGAGTCCCCCGCAGGGCTGCTCTACAGGGCAGGCATAAGCTGCCTAAGGGGCTGCCTCGACCATCTGTTAATCACCTCGCTTCCCGATCAGGGAACCAAGAAATGCAGCAGGACTAGCCGCAAACAAAGCTTCTCAGACACCGGATTTAAGAAGGAAGAGGTTTTTTATTCAGCCGGGAGCATCCGCAGACTCGCGTCTTAAGAGCGGAGCTCCCGGAAAAAGAAATACTTGGCCTTTTTAAAGGCTTACAACTTTAAGGGGTCCACGTGAAAGGGTCGTGATAAATCAAGCGAGCGTGGGAAACGTGACTGGGGCCTACATGCATCAACTAACAGAACAAAAAGTTTTACAATGCTTTTTAAGCTCTCCTCCTGCCTGTCCGCTCCCTCCTCGGCTCTGCTCCTCCTCGCCATTCAAACCCATGCCAAAGCCTCCAAACTTCACCATCTCAGCAAACTCAAAATCACAAGCCTTTTTAAAACAGCTGGAGTCACGTGAAAGAATCGTAATCAATCAAGCAGCGTCGAAGCTTGTATTTAGGCTCATGCCATCCAGCAACAGAGACAAGTTTGTCTTTTCCTCTAGTGCCTAGGATTACAGATACTTCGTAAGATTTAAGTCAGGGTTGATGTTGTGCCACAACTCCTAGGAGCCAGGGGTGGTGCCAAGGTTGTCTGGCTATTTATCTTGCTGTTTCTCTCTTTCCTCCTGTCTTGTGAACTAACAGGCAAGTTGGAGAGGAGGAGCAACAGAATTGTGGTCTCCTTCCTTAGAAGGTTGTGTCAAGATTCCATGGGAGTAGGGCTTGATCACCTAGACTGCCCCTCTTCAGATGCACCCAACTGCCGTGGTAGATTTCACCACCGCTAACCTCAGCGGCTATAGACTGGGGCTCCTACCCCCTCCTTTGGTCTGATTAATTTGCTAAGAAGGCTCACAGACCTCAGAAACATTTACAGTTATTATAAAGGATAGTACAAAAGAGGTACAAATGAACAGCCAGATGAAGAGATGGATAGGGCAAGGTGTCAGGGGTGCAGAGCTTCCATGCCCTCCTGGGCAATACACCCTCCTGGCATCTCCACATGCTCAACAACCCTGAACTCATCAACTCTTGTTGTTCGAGTGTTTAGGATTTGATGTCCAGCCCCTCCCCTCCCCCTTTCCTGGAGGTTGAAGGGTGGGGATGAAAGTTCCAATCCTCCAATCACTTGGTTTCTCTGGTGACTGGCCCCATCCTGAGGTTATCTAGAGGCCCCTATCCTAAATCACCTCCTTATTATAAAGCTCCAGGTGTTATCAAAGGGACTCGTATGAACCCAGGAAATTCAAGGGTTTTAGAGGGTTGTGTCAGGAATCAGGGACAAAGGCCAAATATATTTCATATTATAAATAAAATGATAGTTAGCTATGTCACACCCTCATCTCAGGAGTCCTGACGGTGGTATAAGATGAAGATCTTAGCACATCTAGCTCTGAGAAAGCATTAGGAATGGCTTCAAAGAAGTTTCTGCAAAGTGGAAGGTTACTCCTTCAAATAATCTCTTATTATCAGGGAGATTCTTTGAACTAACAGAACAAAAAGTTTTACAATGCTTTTTTTTTCATACAGTGCCTGGGATTTACAGATAACACAAGTAGTTTAGGTCAGGGGTTGATGTTATTGTTATTACTTTTTTTAACTCCTAGGGCCAGGGGGTGGTGCCAAGGTTGTCTGGCTATTTATCTTACTTTTGTTTCTCTCTCTTTCCTCCTGTCTTGTGAACTAGGCAAGTTGGGGGGAGGAGGGCAGCAGGAGTAGTAGTGGTCTCCTTCCTTAGAGGTTGTGTCAGATTCCATGGGGTAAGGGCTTGATCCCACTAGACTGCCCCTCTTCAGATGCCAACTGCAAGTAGTAGATTTCACCTACACTTCTTACTCAGCAGCTATAAACTGGGGCTCCCACTACCCCCTCCTTTGGTCTGATTAATTTGCTAAGAAGGCTCACAGACCTCCAGGAAACATTTACCAGTTTATTATAAAGGATAGTACAAAGGGTACAAATGAACAGCCAGATGAAGAGATGGATAGGGCAAGGTGTCAGGGGTGCAGAGCTTCCATGCCCTCTCTGGGCAATACACCCTCCTGGCATCTCCACATGCTCAGCAACCCTGAAGCTCATCAACTCTTGTTGTTCGAGTGTTTATAGAGTTTGATGTCCAGCCCCTCCCCTCCCCCTTTCCTGGAGGTTGAAGGGTGGGGATGAAAGTTCCAATCCTCCAATCACTTGGTTTCTCTGGTGACTGGCCCCATCCTGAGGTTATCTAGGGCCCCTATCCTAAATCACCTCCTTATTATAAACTCAGGTGTTATCAAAGGGACTCATTATGAATAACCCAGGAAATTCAAGGGTTTTAGAGGGTTGTGTCAGGAATCAGGGACAAAGGCCAAATATATTTCATATTATAAATAAAATGATAGTTAGCTATGTCACACCCTCATCTCAGGAGTCCACGACGGTGGTATAAGATGAAGAAGATCTTAGCACATCTAGCTCTGAGAAGGCATTGGGAATGAGGCTTCAAAGTTTCTGCAAAGTGGAAGGATTGCTCCTTCAAATAATCTCTTGTTATCAGGGAGATTCTTTGGTAACTTTGGCTTCAATCAGCAACCAGAATATTTCATTGTAAAGGCCTGAACATTATAAAATCAAAGTTTGATACAAACTGTCCTTCAAGACACTTTCAAATTGACCCAAGACATGACCTCAGTACCTTATACTGCATTCAAATCTGCCGTGTCCCTTTGGAAAAGTTTTCTCTTGTCTCTCTCTAAAAGACAACCGCATTTTCCCAAAGCTGTGCTCTTAAGAGTTGGTAAAGGGATGATTTGGTTTATTCAATAATCAGATTAAGAAAGTTATCCCATTTCTTTTTTGTTGTTGTTGAGACACAGTCTCGCTCTGTCGCCCAGGCTGGAGTGCAGTGGCCGGACGGATCTTAGCTCACTGCAATCTCTGCCTCCCGGGTTCACGCCATTCTCCTGCCTCAGCCTCCCAAGTAGCTGGGACTACAGGCGCCCGCCACCTCGCCCAGCTAGTTTTTTGTATTTTTTTAGTAGAGACGGGGTTTCACTGTGTTGGCCAGGATGGTCTCGATCTCCTGACCTCGTGATCCGCCCGTCTCGGCCTCCCAAAGTGCAGGGATTACAGGCTTGAGCCACCGCGCCCGGCCAAGTTACCCATTTCTAAGGCATCAGAGCACGAATCTTAATCTGAGGTTGCCCTGGGACTACATATGCCAGCCTCTTGTATCAAGATGGAGAAGACTGCGGAGGTTCAGGGAAAGAGCCCAGTAGAAGGACCCAACCTAGTGAGAGGAAAACGGGCATCTGGTGACGGCACCGGCCTCTAAGCTAGGGATGCGGGGACAGGCCTCTGTCTGCCTAGCCTGAGACAGGAGGAGGAAACTGAGGCATTCACACTTTTATGGGGCGATCACAGTTCCTGCAGAAGGGCAGACCCGGGGCAAAGGAACCAGACGTATAGTCCCACGCCTACCCACTCGCCCCTCCCCTTCCTCCGCGGCCCCGCCTCCAACAAGCCGCTTCCGGTCGAGAGGGGTCGCCGGCCGGCTGCAGCCGCGCCTGCGCAGGAAGGGCGGGTCAGCGCGCCGGCGCAGTGCCGCGGTCACAGGCTGAGTGCTGCGGCGCGATCCTCGCTTCCGTGAGAGTTGGCCCGGTAGGAAAGATGGTGCTGGATCTGGATTTGTTTCGGGTGGATAAAGGAGGCGATCCAGCCCTCATTCGAGAGACGCAGGAGAAGCGCTTCAAGGACCCGGGACTAGTGGACCAGCTGGTGAAGGCAGACAGCGAGTGGCGACGATGTAAGTACCGGCACGGCGGGTTACCTCCTTGATCCTAAACCCAACTTTCTCAAATCCAGCCACCGCTCCTGAGGCCACAGCTTCCACCCTTCGTCAAACCCCCTCCCAAGGTGCAGTGGCTCCGAGGTTCTCCCCATCCGCGAAAACACAGCCTGGTAGCCGGGGTCGTCCCACTTTCTCCTCCACCCGGGAGGTGCGAGGTCCATTCCACGCGTGCTCAGTTCCGTTCGTTGCCTGTGTGCGTACGCACGCCCATCGGGAGCTGTCAAACCTTCCTTCCCCAGGAGTTGCCAGAGCCTGCAGTGGCGGGAGGTTGTGGGGTCGCGGCGGCTTTTCTATCACGAATCTTTGGTCGCCCCCAGTCTTTGTCTCATCTTCAGCAAAGCCAGAGTGGTTTTCCTTTGTTTTGATAGGATCAAAGGCTCCTTCCGGAAACTGTGTCACTTTTGCAACAGAGTAGATTCATTCCTTCCATATCGGAAGCATTTCGGGGCGTTGGAGGCCGCTCTTGGCCAAAAGAAATGACCCTGAAGCTTTTGGGAAGGCCATCCCCCGACCTATGGGCATACCTTTAAGAATCGGAAAAGTCTTTTCCGTGGTAGATCAGACGTGAGGGGAGTGGGGAGGCGAGAAAAAGATTGTAATAATTGAGGCTGTTTAATTGTGATTTGTGGACGTTTTCCTTTAAAGACATTGCTAGAACCTAGAACTGCCGGATCTTGGAGTCATGTCGAGCATCTTTCGTGAAGCTGAATAAAATCATAGAACCCTCTGCCCGTAAATCTCTGCCTATATTAACTGGAGTGGTCACTGGTTGGGCGGATGCTGTCAAGTACATGTGATTCTATTTGTCTGATGCAATAGGTCTGCAACCATCTGGGAGCTAGGTTGATGACAGTACACTGCAAAGGCAGCCGCTATCCAAGAGTGTGATGGATTTCTATTAGGAAAATTGATTTTCTCCTGTTTATAAGTGTAGCAGGACGAGCCGCAGACAAAACTCCTCAGACACCGGATTAAAGAAGGAAGAGGTTTTTTATTCGGCTTGGGAGTGTCAGCAGACTCGCGTCTTAAGAGCGGAGCTCCCCGAAAAAGAAATACTTGGCCTTTTTAAAGGCTTACATCTTTAAGGGGTCCACGTGAAAGGATAGTGATAAATCGAGCAAGCGTGGGAAACATGACTCTTGCCTACATGCATCAACTAACAGAACAAAAAGTTTTACAATGCTTTTTCAAAGGCAGCCGCTATCCAAGAGTGTGATGATTTCTATTAGAAAAATTGATTTTCTCCTGTTTATAAGTGTAGCAGACGAGCTGCAGACAAAACTCCTCAGACACCGGATTAAAGCATGAAGAGGTTTTATTCGGTTGGGAGTGTCAGCAGATTTCAGGTTCTAAGAGCGGGAGCTCCCTCGAAAAGAAATACTTGGCCTTTTTAAAGGCTTACATCTTTAAGGGGTCCACGTGAAAGGATAGTGATAATCTATAAAGGTGTGGGAAACATGACTTTGCCTACATGCATCAACTAACAGAACAAAAAGTTTGATAAATGCTTTTTTTTTTCATACAGTGTCTGGGATTTATGATAAGTAGTTTAGGTTAGGGATTGATGTTATTATTATTACTTTTTTTAACTCCTAGGGCCGGGTGGTGGTGCGGTTGTCTGGCTATTTATCTTACTTTTTGTTTCTTCTCTGCTTCCTCCTGTCTTGGGAACTGGGCAAGGTGGGGAGGAGGGCAGCAGAGTAGTAGGGTCTCCTTCCTTATAAGGATCTTGATGTCAAAGAGTATTTGTTTAACTTGGAGTTCTGCGCTGATTCTGCTGCCCAGCTCCTATTGTAGTTTGTTTGATTGTGAGATTCCACACTCTGACTTAAAGTTTCGAGTTGCAAATGGAATTTAGACTTTGCCACATTTTTTGTTTAGGATAAAATCATATTTATATTTGTCTCTACTGAATCTGAAGTCAGAGCATCAGATTTTGTGTCAGTCCAGCCCTTAGCCAGTGCTAAATGACTTTGAATGTGTTCGCTAGTCTTTTGGGTATAATGCCCACATCTGAGGGATTTGTCCCTTCTCTGACAAGTAGGTAGGTGGTGAGTTCTTCAGGGACAAGGATTGAGTTTATTCATCCGCATATCCCAGTTCTTAGGATATACATATACACATCGGTACATAAAATCCCAGTACCTGGCACTGTACCTGGTCCTTGGTAAGGCCTTGATAAAGGTTTGTTGGACACAAGAATATTTTCTGTGTTCAGGGCACTTTACATTCTTTATGAAAAGCAGTTTACGTAGTTTATTTTCTTTTTTAAAAAAACTTAATCCTAAATGAAGTCGCTTTCTTTTTTGTTTTGTTTTGTTTTGTTTTTGAGATGGAGTCTGTCATTGTTGCCCAGATTGGAGTGCAGTGGCACCATTTCAGCTCACTGCAACCTCCATCTCCTGGTTTCAAGAGATTCTCATGCCTCAGCCTCCAAGTAGCTGGGACTACAGGCGTGCACCACCACACCCAGCTAATTTTCATATTTTTTTTTAGCTGAGATGGGGTTTCACCATGTTGGCTAGGCTGGACTCTAACTCCTGACCTCAAGTGATCGTCCGCCTCAGCCTCCCAAAGAGCTGGGATTACAGGTGTGAGCCACCATGCTGGGCCAGTAATTTATTTCCAAATGCATCTATTAATTTGATTCTTTTCTATTTGACAGACCTTTCCAATGTTCTCTTTGTATCCAAATGGAATTTATGTTTTTTCCCAAGTTCCCAACTGCCCAAGGTGGACACTAACAGATTCATATCAAGGTTTTTGACACCTTTAAACTTCAGATCAGAGGATGGAGTTCTTCTCTCATTGGCTGGAACAAGGGCTTATAACCAGGCCAAGCTAACAGAACTCAGATCATGCTCCTAATTACAGGACACATAGCAGGCTTCACTAAGTCTCTACTACAACTGTACCAGTTGGTCTTCTCCTGTAGACTTATATAAGGTAATAGGTTCCTTGAGAACAGAGGAGTCCAGTATAACTGAGTCATAACACCGCATTGGAACTTACAACTCTTCTAACTCCAGGGATTTGAACTGTGATTTCTTCTTTTTAATTCAGCGTAGCATAATGATCCTACACTTGGGCATAGTTGTCTTGGTTCTACTCCTGAAGCAACTAGATTTCCATGTATCTGTAAAGTCTGCTGCAAACCAGAATTTTATCCTCCCTCAAAAGCTCTATCCTAGTTGGGTTTCTTTTGTTGTTGTTGTTGTTAAGTGTTTTGCTATAAATTGAAAATTGAAGTTGTTGTTTCTATCTTTTTTTTCAGACAGAGTCTCGCGCCCAGGCGCGGGAGTGCAGTGGCGCGACCTTGGCTCACTGCAAGCTCCACCTCCCGGGTTCACGCCATTCTCCTGCCTCTGCTTGAGGAGCTGGGACTACAGGCCTCGCCACTGCGCCCAGCTTATTTTGTATTTTTAGTAGAGACGGGTTTTCACTGTGTTAGCCAGGATGGTCTCGATCTCCTGACCTTGTGATCCGCCACCTCGGCCTCCCAAAGTGCTGGGATTACAGGCGTGAGCCACCGTGCCCGGCCTTTTTTTTTTTTTTTTTTTTTTTTTGAGACAGTCTCACTGTGTCACCCAGGCATGATCACAGCTCACTGCAGCCTCAATCTCCCCAGGCTCAGATGATCCTCCTGCCTTAGACTTCTGAGTAGCTGAGACTACAGGCAATAGTGCCACCATGCTCGGCTAATGTGCATTTTTGTGGAGATGCAGTTTCACCATGTTGCCTAGGCTGTCCTCAAACTCTGGTCTCAAGAGATCCTTCTCATCTCAGCCTCCAAATTGCTGGGATTACAGGCATAAGTCATCATGCCTAGCCTAAAGCTGTTATTTCTCAAACCTTTACTGTACATGTTTTAAAACAGGTCCTTATCGTTGTTTGCCCCAGCAACTGGAATAGCTTTATGTCTGCTTTAAATCTTAACCCAGTCTCACCAGGGCATATAATCTTTCTAAAATGCAAATCTAATCATTTTACTTGAAGGCTTAAGTTTTGCAGTGACATGCTTTAGAGCAGCACTATAGGAATAGAATGTTAGCTTCATGTGTACAGATGTTCCTTGACTTAGGATGGGTTTATGTCCCAATAAATCCATCATAAGTTGAAAATCTTATAAGTAAAAAAATGCATGTAATACACATACCCTAATGAATACTCTATAGTTTAACCAAACCTACCTTAAATGTGCCTGTGAACACTGGACGTTAACCTGCAGTTGGGAAAAAAATCGTGGTTACACAAACCCTATTTTATAATAAAGTGTTGAATATCTCATGGAATTTATTACTATTGATCATAAAGTTTAACCATTGTAAGTTGGCGATAGTCTGTAATTGTTAATTTGTTTGTATTCAATCTAAAAAATATAAAGAGAAACAGATTAACTTTAGTAATATATTTTATTTAACCTAGTCTTATACCCAAAAGTTTTTTTATATATATATATATATTATTATTTTTAGACAGGGTCTTGTTCTGTTACCCAGGCTGGAATGCAGTGGCATGATCACAGCTCACTGCAGCCTGGACCTCCTGGGCTCAAGTGGTCCTCCCACCTCAACCTCCTAAGTAGCTGGGACCACAGATGTGCACCACCATGCCCAGCTAATTTTTAAATATTTTAGCAGAGACAGAGTCTCACTTTGTTGCCCAGGCTGGTCTCGAATTCCTGGACTCAAGTGATCCTCCCACTTTGACCTCCCACACTGCTGGGATTACAGGTGTGAACCACCACGCCCAGCCCAAAAATTATATTTTCAACATATAATCATTATTTTTAAATTACTGAAACTAGCTGGCGAGTGGCTCACGCCTGTAATCCCAGCACTTTGGGAGGCTGAGGTGCGTGGTGTATCACCTGAGGTCATGAGCTGAGATGAGCCTGACCCACATGGTGAAACCCCATCTCTACTAAAAATACAAAAATAAGTAGCCAGGCATGG